CCTTCTAGGTATCTTTCACCCGAACACGCTCGGCGACGTCGCGCTCTACAAGCGCTGCCTTAGCGTCCCGCTGAGCGCGATCGTTGCCCGCAAGCACTGGCGCCTGCTGGGCCACGTGCTGCGCCTGAAGGAAGACGTCCCTGTCAGCATTGCCGCCGCCCGCTTCTTTGCCACTCCCGATGCATCCCGTTTTTTAGGCCGCACCAAGATCACGTTGCCCATCGTCCTGCACCACGACCTCCAGTCGTAGACGCCGCCTCAGTCGCTGGCGTCTCTCGAGGACCTCAACCAACTGCATAGCTTTGCCGCCGACGGCAAAGCCTGGAAGGCTTTTACACAGCGTGTCGTCATGGGCCTCACCCGCGGCCGCAAGCGCCCCCGGGCGATGACAGAAGAGCAAGACGAGCCCCCGCGCCGCCGCCTGCGCAGCCACGGCCCGGTGAATGCATAAAGGAGAAGGAGATTGCTAGTCTCTACGTATGCAACCTCTTTGCAACAATGAAGATCCCGCGAAACACTTTCATGTTTATATTTAAAAGTTCCTACCAGCTCACCCCGCACGGGACCTGTTTGCATTTGGGTTTTTGGGACAAACCTCCGATCACACCGGCGCATCGTACACAAAAGTGGGTTTTACATCGTGTAAATCCCATACGAAGCCACCGATGGTTCCAACAACTTGTCCTTTGAACTGCAGTCAGTAAAACAGCTCGCGGGCGTCCCTACAAGCAGCATGGCGGATGACGTCGTCGCTTGCAGCTACCGTCTCTGCGCGGTGTGCGGCCAGCTCTTCCACGACAGCTACATCCGGTACGATCACAACGCGATGAGTTTGTTGCACTTGCTAAAACGCCTGCAGGTCCAACAAGCCCGACGGCTCCAAAGTACTACACCACCGAGATGAGCAGCGCCCCACGTGTACCTTCTTGTGTCTACGTTTAGGTCCTCAAGTACGCAACAAGCTTGACGGCGATCGACCGACTGGATGCTCTAGGTGCTTTCCGCACTGTTGCCCCGAGCACTCGCGCCGCCGGTCGTGCGGCACACACCTCGAGCTCCACGTGCACAGCGACAGCGTCGACATCTGCGTCTTTGCGCGATTCGAGGCCTCGCTGTCGACGGCGACGCTCGCCCTCGGCGACTCCATCCCGTTCCTCGCCGACAACGACGTGCGCTCCAAGAAGCACCCGCGCGGCGAGTGGATTGCCTGCCACCGCGACGCGCGCGAAACGCCGACGATGGTGCGTCAACCTCCATCGATGATGCTAGATGATGATGTGATGATATGCGCAGCCCGTGGTCTACATTATCAACCGCAATGCGCTCGAGGCCGAGTGGCATTATGGGTGGACGGGCTGCGCGCGCGTTGTCGACCGCCAGTCCACGCACCATCTTGGGGTTTCTTGTCTTCTGTGCATCCACTACAATACTATCGGAGCGGTCGTGTAGACGTACGTGTTTCGGTGCAGCCTCGGGCGCCTCGTTGTCATTGCCGTCGCTCGATCGCCGCCGTTCACCATCACGTCGGCTCGCCGCGCGTCGGCTGCAGCCAGTACGCACGCTGCTCGTCGTCGGCGAGGACGACACCGAGGAACGCGCGTAGGTGTCGCGTGGGACGACCTCGAAGCGTCCAGTGCCCTCTCGCCCTCGTCGGGGCTAACGGCATTCGACTTTGCGCCGTGCAGCTGCGGCATCCACGACCTCTTTACGGTGACCTACTACCGGTAGCCACCTCTCAAATCTGTCGCTTGCAGCATGAGCTTATAATGGACGCATAGATCCAACAGTGCGGGGCGGGCCAAGGTGAGACAAATCCTTAACCCTATCCTATTACCCGGGACTTGACAGCACGGGATCGTAGGAGCTGCGGTACGCTCCACGCGTGCAGGTATTTCAAAAGGGTATCTCATCGAGCGTAGATGCTTCCCGCACTGCTGTCCGTCGCACGCACCACACTCAATGTGTGGTGGCACCCTTCGACTCTGCGCCTCATTGGATACCGGCGCACCCGTCCACCGGTACCGTGTGTATGGCCGATTTGAGATGCTTTTGGCGCCGCCGCTTGACCTCGCCTCGGAGCTGCGACTCGATGCCTTGGACGCGGATTGGCTCGAGGCCGAGCTGGAGCCATCGACCCTCTGCTTTCCCGTACAGTGCCCCCTTCGTCAATCCATATATTTTCAGTGCGCTCGTACACGTAGACAACCGCCCACTTTGTCTTCAACCAAGCAGCTCCAGAGACGAGAACGCGCAAGATACACCGCTGGCCGTATGACTGGAAAGGGTCGGCGAGCCTCAGCGTGCGCGCTACGCGCCACGTCTTTCGGACCTACGTCGCTGCTCTGCATCAGGCTGAATCCAGCGTCGGTGTCGATGTGATCGCTGTCATCGTCGGCATGGCACAGTCGCGTTCGTTCCAGATCGAATCCCATCGCAGCAAGAAGGCAGCGACGTACTAGTTTTCATTCTCGATGGAGTAACACGAGAGAGATCGAACGAGACATTCGTCTCCTGTATAGAAACAGTATCCACATCTCTTTTTCTCCGTTGACAGACGACCTCCCGTGTTGCTGTTGACGATGGCGTGCATCCTTCTAGACTGTCCGAGCGTTGGAGACGCCGTGGCCGTGCCACGTTTCCAACGATCATTGGCGCATTATCAAGACGCAACGCAATTGGATTCGTGGGATCTGCATCCTTTTTGACCAATCCAACGTCTTTTTTCGAGCATTTCAAGCAAATCGAGCGCTCTTGATTATGTAACGGCTCGAAAAGACACCTGGCGATCACGCAATCCCGTGCCACCCATCACGTCGTGATGTCGTGCCCTTGCTGTCGTCTGCACGTAAGCTGTCGAAGCCGCCAGGCGGGCGTAGCTCGGGGGCGTCTTCGGCGCCATTGTGCCCACACCTTGGGCTGCGAGCTTGGGCTGCGAGGACGGCGCTCCATACTGTGCGTGCAGTACCAGTGTTCGAGGTAGATGGACTGGAATCTCGTCCGTCCGTTCAGGCACCGACCACATCAACGATCTTGCCAGGACGCAGCACCTGCTCGCCGAGCCGCTCACAGGATGGGGTCATGAGGTCAGCGTTGGCCGTGGCAGCGGCAATGATCACGCTAGGGTGGGATGGCAACAAAGAACACGGCGTGGATGGACCGGGACGCAAGAGGGTACAAGAAAACGAGCTTAGAGACACTGTACACGGTCGCCCTAGCACGTGGGGCCTTGCTGTTCGTTGAAGCGGAAGCGCTTGGCGCGCGCGTCGTCGTCGTCGAGGGGCATGTGCGGCAGCTTCGGGTTGTTCTTGGAGCCGGCGCCGACGCTCTGGTAGTTGTTGCAGCGGTAGCTGATCAAGTGGAAGCTCGGCGACTGCACGAGCGCAATCACCTTGAGGTCGATCGGCATCTCGACGCTTTCCTCGCGGAGCCGCTTCTCAAAGAGGTACACGACAAAGAGGTGGCGCAGCTTGCGCTTTTCCTTGGCCGCCGACCCGTGCCAGTTGTACGGCCAGTAGTGCTTGGCCGCGTCGTTGAACGTAAACTCGACAAAGGTCTAAAGACGACGTCTCAAACTATCCAGAGCGACGGAGCGTACCGGGTAGCACACGCGCGACGGAGACCGCGAACCGAGGAACCAGTCGCCGAGCGAGTTGTGCGTTTTCGGCACGCCATCTTCGAGCGCCTGCATCGAGACAATGTGGCCGAGCTCAAACGTCTGCTCGCCCACGACTTCAAACCGACCGTACGCCGCGAAATAGTGCACGGGCAGCTGGTTGCGCATCGAGAGGTCGCAGTGGACGACGATCTTGCCGCCGCAGCTACTGTGGGGCGTGTGGCGCGGGCAGCAGTGCGGGAAGCAGCGCAGCTCCTACGCCTCTGCATCGCAAAGAGCTCGAAAGAGGGCGAGCGCCGTGTACCTTGCGCCCGTTGGTCTTGTTGCAGCTAGCATCGAAAACGACGCCGCGTGAGCCCTCGCTGGAACGAATTTCTGCAGAGAGTATTACCGAATGTACTTGTCCTTGAACATGGGCTCCACCTTGCACTCGCACGCGACAATGTGGCAGTTTTCAATGCTGCCCGACGAGAGCACTCGCATCTCGGGCTGCGCGATGGCTTCCGGAGCTACGAGGCTTCTTAGTAAACGCTACAGAGGCGTCCTGTACCTTCGGTCACCTCGGGCTGGATGGACCGGCGAAACGAGCGAGCGTGAACGGCGTCGAGATGGCACAGCCGACCACGACCAAGTAGCGCTGCGAGATCGAGTCTTGGACGTTCTGGAAAATGTACGACTAGCGAGAGGATGAGGATGTCGTCGTCGCACGCGAGAAAGACGTGTGCACCTTGAGGACATGCGACGTCTGGCGCAGGATCTTGCTCGCGCTGCCCTTCCAGTTGTAGTGCCACTCGTCCTGGAGCGCATTGCGGTTGACGACATAGATCATGGGCTACACCGAGGCGTGAGAAGAAGCATGGCGAGGGTCGAGGACTACGTTTTGGGCCTTGAGGTCCGGGTGGTTCTGGATCCACTCGCCGAGCAAGTTGCCTTGGCGGCGCAAGCCTTGCTGGATCGTCGCGTGCTCGATGCGGTCGCCGGGCACGAGGCCCGTGTCGGTCGAGCACTCAAAGCGCGAGTACGACTCGAGCGACGACTGCTCGCCGGCCGTCATCTCGCCATGGACGTGCACGACGAGGTGCGTGCCACAGCTTCGGCGGTTCGTGTGCTGCGGGCAGCAGT